CTGTCCACGATAAAGGTGATATTTAGGATCTATTCTGTTACGGAGGCAAAAGCATTCAATATGATTTATGAAAGATGCTTCTTTGACTCTAAACTGCATCATTATCATGGCCACCATGAGACACTATCTATGGAATTATTGCTATAGTTTGTGAGGATGTTTTGAGGAATACGTATTAAGTTCCAAGGAGTCATACGGGAGTAAAAGTAAAGATACCTTTTTGGAAAGTGACTTGAATAAAAGTTTAAAGGCTAAAGAGGTTTTAATTGACATAAGAACCAACAATCTAGAACATTCCTTCATGTTTGATGAAAGTCCACAAAATTATTATCAAGCAAACATTTTAAAAGATGATTAAAAAATATCAAAATGATATGATAACTTGAGAACATGTTAAGATTTTAAAATTTCCCAAGGTGTGTTATTCTGCAATAAATATCATTAATCACTTTATTCACCGCAGTAGATGTGTGTTTTTTTTGCTGACACAGCCAATGATGTCATATTGAAGGGTTTGAACTTCTGCTAGTCCTCTCGGGAGTGATGTACAGAAAAGAAGTCTCTTAAAATCACTGTTTTGTTCCTCAGATCTCCGAAGAGCCGTAATGGTGTGTGACGTAAATCAAGTCTTCTGGCCCGAGGCTGGTGTGTATCAGCTCAATGCAGCAGGTGAGTGTTTTTTACGCAGAAATGAGGTTGTCTGAGTTACATCAGATAAGAGAAAGATAGAGCTAATGCTTTCATCAGGAGAAAAGATGACAGGGATGGTTTGGCTTCGGAGGTGCGGAAGAAAGAGAGTCGGGACGGAATAAAGGCATTTTACTTTATGATCCCTCAGATGGGCTGACAGAGACAAAGTCAAAAGTTCTTCATTCTGTAGTAAAAACACGAATAAACTTTAATCAATGCTTGTTGTGAGTCACAAGAAGGGCTCTGTAACGGTCACCAGCTGGAGTGCCCTTGAGAGCCACCAGAGGGCCCTCCACATCAGACTGTTGTCATTCCCTCACAAACTACATCCCCCATAATTCTCTGCCTGGACTCATCAGCACGCATTGTTTTCAGCTGTGTCTCTACGTGAGCGCCGTCATCTTTAGGATATTGTCTTTGAACTTCCGTTTTTGCGGTTGCTTTGTATATCTCTGTGGCATCGCAGTCGAGGAGTAGCCTAATTAGCTGGTGAAGTGGATTTACTTGTTATAGAGTTAAATAAAGTTATCATGAGCATTGTAAGGTTTATCATAAGCATTAAAGCAGATGTCTTAACAAATGTCGACCGGGAATTTTTTTACAAGCAGTTCATTCATACCTATGCAAGATCACTGTGGAAATACAGACCGGAAGTTAAAAGACGCGGCGCGGCGCTGAAAAGGGGCGGGGCTAGCCTGATTTTCACATTCATTCATACCAGTCTTTCTCAAGATGTTTCAATATTATCGATGAGTGTACCTCTGTCCCTCGGGGGTTCGGGGGCATGCTCCCCCGTAAGAAAATGTTGTGCTTTTTAATGTTAAATTCATCAATCTGGTGCACTTTGAGAGTTCAAAATTAAGAGCTCCAACCAATATTCAGTGTGCAAATTGAACAAAGAAAAACCCAAAACTCTTTTAGTTTATTAAAACAAACTAATAAACTAAAAAACTTTTAGTTTATTAAAATAAACTAAAACTATTTATTTTTTATTTATTAAGCAAAGGCGCAGTAAATTGATCAAAAGTGACAGTAAAGACGTTAATAATGTTACAAAAGATGTCTATTTCAAATAAAGTCGTGGAAATGTTTCTTGAGCAGCAAATCAGCGTATAACAACGATTTATGAAGGATTTCTGAGGAATGAGGCTGAAAATTCAGTTTTGCACCACAGGAATAAATTACATTTTTAAAAATATTTAGCTAGAGCGTTATTTTAAATTGTAGTAATATTTTACATTATCACTGATTTTACTGTTCAAATCAAATAGCAGCCTTGGTGAGCATAAGATACATCCGTAAATAAAATCCTATTGTTGCCAATCTTTTGAACAGTGCGTATAGACGTATTGTAAATATTATTAATGCTTTATGCAAAAATTATATAATATAACCCCAAATTAAGTCTGTACTTGTCCGCTATATTCCACGGAGCCCTAAACGGACATGGCGATGAAAAGAAAAATATTTCAATGCGTTTTCCGTTCTCTCAGAAAAGAAACTAATGCAGTTTCTCAGGGGAACACAAAAGCATTGACATAATTTTGCCAATTTTCATGGACATAATCTCATATTGTTTTGCCATCACCAATATTCTCATCTTAAGTCAAATGATATAAAGCTTATAAATCGAATTCATTATTCCTCTCCACAGTAGTTTTCATATCTCATTGTTAATGCTATATGCCATGTGAAAACATTTCATCAGGCTTGACGTTGGTGATGATATAACTTATCTTGCAAGTTTGAAATTGTGATAAGAATGAGGTGGTTGGATGGGAAGGATTTCAGTGAACTTGAAAGACTAATTCATGAGTCATACGGACTGATTTTATTATTCTATCGTGGCCTTTTTTTAAGAGCTTAGCTGCATCTATATTCATTCACTTTCATGTGTGAGCAAAAAGAGCAGCATAATTGTTCTGCCTTTTGGTCATACAATTTCAGAGCGACAAGAGGGTGAGTAAATGATGCCAGAATTGACAGAATGACAGAATTTTTGGGAAAACAATCCCTTTGTGTTTAATCTGCCCTCACTTAGCCAAGATACGAATTTCACCTTATGCTTCTGCAACCTCAACACATCTTCCTTCTTCATACCTTTATGCAGTCCTTCATTTACCCTTCATCTATTCCACTGATTCCTGGTGGCTTTTTTCCTGCACAACCACATGATGACCCCTGATATCCTCCTGTCTGACCATCCTGCATCCCCCTCCCCCTCCTCGTCATCATCATCATCATCATCATCATCATCATCAGCCGTCTGCCGTGTCTCTCCCTGTCCCTCCTGTTCATCTCCAGCATCCTCTGCTTTAATTAAATGGCCAGGCACGCTCCCCCACACACACACACGCACACACCCTCAAGCGCTGCTGCTGATGATATACCCAGCTTAAAGGGATAGATCACCAAATTCTGTCATTTCTCATTCCAAACTCACATTTTGTTTCTTCTGTGCAACACAAACGGAGAAATCCTCAAGCAAGTTCATGCATATATTTACAGTCTTTGTGATGGTTGAATACATTCATCATGTTGTCATGTGACCAGTTGCATCACTTCACTGCCATTTACACATCTTTCCCATGGCCTCATGGGATAGTGTAGTGTCCACTGGATGCGCACTTCACTGTCTGTCATATTTCGCGTACTGTTTTTGTGAATTCAGACATCTTTCTCTTGTCACGCTGCGTCCCAATTCTTACACTTATGCACTATTCTATGATGTTTTGTAGTATAAATAGTGCGAGTAGTGTGTTCACACTGCAAAACTCCAAGAAGAAAAAGGCCACTTTAAATTCCCGGATGATGCATTTAACTAACCGACAGAATGAAGTGTGAAATGTTGGTCACTTCATGCACTCAACTAGCCTGGCTAACGCCAGACCATGTGACCTCTCGCGCGTGTACGTCACTCATTGTTTACACAGAGATTTTGGAAGCGTTATCTTTCACTGTGAAGATCTAAACATATTTAGATATATTTATGTTTATATATTTCGATATATCAACAGACAACATTGAATTTTTTTCGCAGCCGCGCACGAGATCACTTCCGGCGCTTTCCAGCGCTTGCGCAGACCGCGCCTTCAGATCACCTGGACGCGGCTGTGGTTACACGAGGTAAAAACGATATAAATACTGTTCGTTTTCTCACACAAACCGCTAGTTTCGTGTCTTAGTCCATCGATGTGTGCTTACATTTACGAGTCATTAAAGAGTAACTAAACACTAAACCAACTTTTTTTTAGTTAATGATCTGTAAGAATGGATCTTTATTAATACCAGTCAATGATTCGAGTAACTTTTCTGACATTTGTTTATAAAGTGTTCTATTTTGACAATATATGGTGTAAAAACGTCTTAGTGCTGCCCTCTTCAGGTTGAACGGTGGCTACTGCAGTTGAATTTTCCTATTGGATGTTCCGCACTTTGTGACATATGCAGGTTTCAGCTCACCACGCGAGCTACGGCAGTATAAAAAAACATCTTGTGTCGTCAAAAGCACTGTAGGGAGTCAGGAATTGGAATTGTGAGTATTGAAAACGATCAGGGTTTTAGCATCTATTTCGTCCCCTATATCTCCGCTGGGGTCAGCCCATTTTTTCAGCATTTTCAAATATTGCCAGTGGGTGGAGTCAGGCTCTGAGCAAGGGTTTAGTTACCCTTTAAAGTCCCCGTGAACCGGAAGTTGCAAACGATTTTTCTCCAGTGCTGTGACGTATTTCCAAGTGAAACGGAATATTGAACAGAGGGCAGGGTTTTACTGTAGCGCTCCTCCTCTCCATCTCTCGCTCATAGCAAACTAACGGTTTGAGGGGAGTGGTTAAGCGTTTCCCCACCCAAACTGTGAAACCTACGTCATCAGAAAAAGAAACCGTTCCAGACCGGAAGTAACTTTTCAGATTTTGATTAAAGATTACTAAGGTAAAACATTTTTTTAATATATATTCACTTGCACGGATTAATTGTTCACCACAAGACTAGTAATATGCGCTAACAAAGTAAATAGGTTCAATTTTGATTTCACGGGGACTTTAAATCATGTTTAATTTGGACTTCTCTGTGCATGCTCTTTGAGGTGGTGACCATAGACCTGCATTATATGACTGACAGACACGAACGGTTTGACCTAAAAATATCAAAATTGAAACTACTGCGGAAACAAAGACACCTACATCTTGGATGCCCTTGGGGTACACTAAAACATACCAAAAATTAATTTCAAAGCGAACTATCCCTTTTAATTTGTGCTCCAGTGAAAAATCAAATCATCCAGGTTTGGAACAACATGAGGGTGAGTAAAGCCGAAACAGTGGATGGAGAGGGGAGAGGGTTGAAAACAGGATTCTTCTAACCCTTCTGTTTATTCGCTGCCTATAGGTCTGCGCGTGTGCTTACTCCCATCACCCCCCCCCCCCTTTCCCATTGGCTGCTTCCTTCTCCCACACACGGATATGGACACACACACACACGCGCGCGCGCGCGCTCAGAGCTCAGACACTATAGAGTTGACGTTCTTGAGCGGAGGTCGAGAGAGGGACAGATGGGATCCACACACACACACACACACGCGGCGCTCCGTGCAGCATTGATCGCGACTGAGTGAGACCTCGGGAAGAGACTCTCTGCCATGGAAAAGAGAAGAGAGTGAAAATCAGTGACAGTGAGACGGAGGAAAGAAGATGCCATGGAATGAGCAGGATGGGGTTGAGAAGCCTGGGCACCTGAAGACAACAACAAGATCGTTTTCTCTTCGCCAGCGCTTCTGAAACGGACCGTCTCGAGTGTTTTCAGGGCACTCGTGCTCGGGGCGAACGGGAAGTTTCTGGTGAGTAACTTTCTCTCATGTGTATTTCTGAACACCTTGCATGGATTGCTCAGGTCTTTTAGTCTCCAAATGGAGGGGTGCTGCTGTGCTTTATGTTTTTATTAAGTCAGAGAAGGGATGTAAGCGTTCAGAGATGATCCGGCAGCTGTGCTCCACTAAAATGATGAGATCGCACGAATGGGAAGACAAAATAGCACAGTCAGATATTCAGCCTCCACACACACATCAGTGCTTCATTGCATTCATGCTGACACAAACTATAATAAACGTAAAAGCACGCACATTTTTTTTTTAAATCTTCCTGTTGGGTTAGATGAGATACAACATGAAAGTCTACCTGGTGTCCTATTGTAGGCTACTAAATTGGCCAGATGTGTGTGTGCGTATATGCGCGCGCGTGCAGTGTGTGATGAATAACAGAATGAAAGTGCAAAGCTGAGAAATGTAGAGGTCATTGCAGATTCACAACTGTGTTGTGCTTGTGCAGGGAGCTGGTCAGTTGTGTTGGTTTAGGAAAATTGATATGTTGACTTTGTTAGTCAATGCTATGGGGAATTGAAGCTATTATAATGTTTACTGGGGATGAAAATGTATTTTGCTTTATGCACCGTTCGAAAGTTTGAGGTTAAAAAGAAATGCATATTTTTATTTAGCAAGGAGACATAAAATATATCAGAAGTGAGTCACTTCTCGCAAAAAACTGTTTTCTTGAGCATCAAATCATCATATTAGAGTGATTTCTGAAGGATAATGTGACTGAAATACAGCTTTGATCACAGGAATACATTACAAATAGAAAACACTTATTTCAAATTGTATTAATATTTCACCCTTTTGCTGTATTTTTGATCAACTTAAAGCAGCTTCGAGTCGGTGAGCAGAAGAGACTTCTTTCAAAAACATTAAAACAATCTTACTGATCCCAAACCTGTCCTTATAAATATGTCTCGAAACTGTTTTTCCACATAGGTCACCGTGTCACTCGCAGCTTCATGCATTAGCTAGTCTCCCGATCAAGCCGACGGAAGGCGCTTTTTTCACAATAAAAAAAAACAAGTTCAAGTTTAGTGAAATTCTTACTTTGATTTTCACCATTGAAAATAATAAGCAAAAACATATAAACCATGCATTACACAAAAAGATTTATCCATTGGGATTTGATTGAAAAAGTAGGCATGGAGGGGAAGACGTATGATGAAATGCATGATATGACGAAAATGTATGATGTCATCCAAATTTCATTTCAGAGGGAGGCCAAGTTCTTACATTTTGAAAAAAAGATTACAAAGACAAACATTGAATTTATTTGTAATAACATGCACCAATGAATCGTGCACAAAAAGACCTGGAAAGGTTAAGGTCTTAAGAAATGAAATGTGGTTAATGCTGAATGTAATTTTGGACTGTTCATGTGGTGCTTGCAAAAGATTCGTTAGCCGGTGTAATGCATGCACTGTCAGATGCTGTTTGTGTCACTCATTCACTTTCCGTCCGCCGTGTCACTCCTTCTCCGCATTCATTTTCATCTCGCCGTGAAGTTCATATCACATCAGCGCTCGGGATGCGCTTTTGGCTTCCGACCAGACACTTAACCTTCCTTATCCTCCTCAAACCTTCCACCCCAATTATCGTTTTCTCACTCCGTTTCATCGCTTCCACGCTTCTAGACTCAGCCAAAACTGTGGATTTGTGCTCGGGTCCTCCTCTGAATGAGCTCTGGAGTCGATGGTTTAGAGTTGATTATGGTCATTTTAAAAAGAGATCCCCAGTAATTAGCCAGCTGGGCTGGGCTCGTGCTGGACGCTTGTCAGCACCGTCTCCGGCCCAATGGGTGGACCCAGCTCGTTTTAGGTGCCAAGTGAAGCATTTGGGAAGAGTAGTTCATCTAATCACACCAATCAAAACATTAAGGATACGTAAACAGCCATTTACCTAATGCTCAGGGTTTGGCTGGACTGCTGCTCAAAAAATCTTTGTTTTCCAGGAGAAATGTATCTAAAAAATATTTTGAAGCAACATTTTGTATGATGAACTTTTCGGCAACACTTTACAATAAGGTCTCATTTGTTCATGATGTATCACCATGAACTACACTCTCAGAAAAAAAGGTACAAAAGCTGTCACTGGGGCTGTACCTTTTCAAAAGGTACACTTTTGTCCATTTTAGATGCTAATATGTACATTTGAGGTGCTAATATGTACATTTTATGTGAAAATATGTACATTTTAGGTGCTAATATGTACATTTTAAGTGTTAATATGTCAATTTTATGTGCTGATATGTACATTTTAGGTGATAATATGTACATTTCATGAGCTAATATGTCAATTTTAGGTGGTAATATGTACATTTTAGGTGGTAATATGTCAATTGTAGGTGTTAATATGTACATTTCAGGTGCTAATATGTACTTTTTAGGTGCTAATATGTGCCACTAAGGTACCAATATAGCCTTTGGACACAAAAGTGTACCTTTTGAAAAGGTACAGCCCCAGTGACAGCTTTTGTACCTTTTTTTCTGAGAGTGAGCAATACATTTGTTACAGTATATATTAATCTTTTTTAATGTTAAGAAAAAAATACAGTCATTCATTGTTTATTCATGTTAGTTCACAGTGCATGAACTAATGTTAACAAATAGATCTTTTGATTTTGATAATGTAGAGCTGATGTTGAAATAAACATGAACTAAGATCATTCTTTCTTAGTTCATGTTAACTAAAAGAAAGTGTTTTTTTAAACTTTATTGACATTTCTTTTCATGAAAGCCTTTATATCGTATGCAATTGTGTTTCAAAGTAAAAAAACACATTGTTTTAGGTACATATATATATATATATATATACACACACAGGTGAAACTCGAAAAATTAGAATATCATGCAAAAGTTAATTTATTTCAGTGAAATTTATTTATTATTTATTATACACAATTTATTAATGAAATATATATTTTTTTTAATAAAAGATTTGAGCACCTTTCTTTCGGCTAAATATGAATAAAAATGAGTCAGCGAGGCCACGTTTATTTGTTTCAGGCTTAGTCACAGTAAAATGTGCATTGCATTGAGTAAATGCCCATCTGTAGTTTAAGCAGCTCATCTCATTGCTGCTTTTGTAATTGATAGCACTGTTGTTTTGACGTAGGTCTGAGCATTTAGCCAGCCAATGCATTTTTAATTATTCATCCTTAATCTTTAATGCTTCTGGAATCCTGCTGAGTGACAGATCTGTTCCTGTTAGCACATGCACATCAAGGAGACTCGTGTGCTTGCTTTCATCTGGAGGTTTCCTGGAAGATGACATTCAGTAGGGGCTTTTGTGACACTCGTGAATGTTTGTCCACAGAACACACCTGAAATGTAATGCATTGCTTTGAAGTTGAAGCGCTCTGTCACAGTGGTCTCGTTGGTGCATGCTTACTGCGACTCTTTTGCAGTGCTAGGATGGTCAGAATAGGTTTTCTAAAGGCATTTGAGGGTTTTTAAACACTTTGCAGATTGTAATGCTGGTCAGTGTTAGTATACTCTAAAAAATGCTGGATTGTTTTAACCCAACTTTGATTCAAATATGGACAAACCCAACCACTGGGTTAAAATTTGTAATTACATTTTTAACCCAACGTTTGACCCAAAGTTGGGTTAAAACAACCCTGCATTTTTTGAGTATGAGCAATGAAAGCACATTAAAAAACTACTAAAACAATCAAATGAAAATATAAAAATAAGTCAAAATGTAAAGTGTTAATATAATGGTATATTAATAATACACTCTAAAAAAATGCTGGGTTATTTCAACCCAAATTTGGGTCAAATGGACAAACCCAAATATTGGGTTAAAAATGTCATTAAAAATGTTAACCCAACTTCAATTGTACATTTTTTTTAATGACATTTTTAACCCAACATTTGGGTTTGTCCATTTGACCCAAATTTGGGTTGAAATAACCCAGCATTTTTTTAGAGTGTATTATTAATACACCATTATATTAATACTTTACATTTTGACTTATTTTTATATTTTCATTTGATTGTTTTAGCAGGTTTTTTTAATGTGCTTTCATAATTTGAATTATTTGTTTTTTAATGTTCCCATTTAGCCTTCTTGTTTCAGTTTTAGTAATTTTAGTACTTCAACTTATTTTATTTCAGTTAGTTGCCAATGCAACATTTAATATTATTTTTTCCCCATCCTTTTTTAGGTTTAGGCTTTTCATCTAATATTTATATTTTTTTTTAAATCTCAGGTTTATTTCAATTTTAACAAACAATTTTATTTTTAGATTTTTAGTTTTACTTAACAACACACACTAAAAAAATGCTTTGTTGTTTCAACCCAAATTCGGGTCAAAAATGGACAAACCCAAATGTTGGGTTAAAAATGCAATAAAGAAATGTGCGGTTGAAAATTGAAGTTGGAACCCAAATTTTTGATGTTTGAACCCAAATTTGCGTTCAAACAACCCAGCATTGTTTAGACTGGTCTTTTCTTGCAGTTTTTCCTCACACATAACATTTGCTGCCAAAAAAATAGCAACATTAGCTTTTTATTTTATTTTTATCAACACCGTTCAGATAAAGCAATTTGGCATAACTGATATTTCAGAAGTCAAAATAACTGAATTTACAAAAATGATCCCTTGCTTCTTAATATCATATGTTTCCTCCTTGAACATCAATGACCGTTCGTCCTTTTGTGATAATCGAGTCCTGATGATCTTGGCAAATACTCTGTAAATTTCTCTGCTTCTCTACATATTTAAATTCTTAACCATAGTGGCTCAGTTATGTCAGTTTTGTCTTGTGTGTATACATATATATATATATATATATATATATATATATACATATATACTGTATATTATATCTGATGTTTAGATCAGCTTATTGGGCAGCACTAAAAGGTGAAAAAAAAAATTGAAACCATTATCTAATTTTTACAGATTCTGCAAGGAATATGTAAACCGAGCTGGTAAAGTTAACCGTGTCTATTCAGCAGGG